TTTAAAAAATAAAAAAATAAACTCTGTCCTTTTCTTCTTTTGGAATTCCCATTGTGCATGTGCTGGTCTGCTTAATAGAATTTCTCAACCCCCTTAATCTCCCTTTCCTTTCCTTCCTTCTTTTGCTCTGTTACTCAATGATTTCCAACAGCCTGTCTCCTTCATGTTCCCCCTTGTTTCTTTGGACCAGTCGAGTCTGCTGTTGAATACTTCTGATGAATTATTCAGTTCAGTTACTGTATTTTTTAACTCTAGAGTTTGTGTTTGATTCTTTTTATAAATTCTCTTTCTTGGTGTTCTATTTTTTTCATGCATTGTTTACCTGTTTCTGTTTAATTGTTTATCTGTACTCTTAGCTCATTGAGCATCATTATGATAATTATTCTCATTTCTTTGTCAGGCAGCTCGTAGATCTGCATTTCTTTTGGATCTAATTCTGAAATTTTATGTCATTGTTTTGGGCCATGTTTCCTTGTTTCTTTGTAAAGCTTATCAGTTATTTCTTGTTGTTCTGGTGTTTAGACATTTAAAAAACATCAACTTGTTTCAGTCTTTGCATGTGGACTTTGTGTAGGGAAGGCCTCACCAGTTAGCCTGGCTGGAGGTTCCAGGACCTCTCAAGCCTTATTTGACCTTGCTCTCCCTGTCACCAGATGGTGGAACTGCTGCTTTAACATTCTGCATGTTCTGTTTTCAGTGGCTTCAAACTCTGGTGCAAATGTCATTAGTATAAATCAAGTGGGACGGAAACCAGTGCCTCAGGCAGACCCCAGACAGACCAGAACTCTGAGCACATAATCCCTTCTTTCACTTCTGTCCCAAGGAAGGAGCTTCATTACTGGGGTGGGGTCCTCCAATTGTTCTGTACTCCACCACATAGAGGTAGGGGTACAATAGGTGTCCCAAATACTGAGAATTTTGATACTTCTTGCACTGGAATAACTTCCTTTTGGTTTGGTTTGGTTTGGTACCAGGGATTGAACCCAGGAATGCTTAGTCGCTGAGCCACACCTCCCAGCCCTTTTTATTCTTTGAGATAGGGTCTCACTAGGTTGCTGAGACTGGCCTCAAACTTGTGCTCCTCCTGCCTCGGCCTCTCCAGCAGCTGGGATTACAAGGTGCACAGTGACGCTAGCATCTGGGATGCCCGGTGGCACTCCCCTCCCGGGGCTCCGCGGGGCCTTCCTGCAGCTTCTGCGGGTTCCCAGCCGGCCCCCCGCACGTCTAGGATCCCCAGGCACTCCAGAGTTTGCCTCCCCGCGAATCCCTGCAGCACAGAGCTGCCCAGGCAGCTTCCCAGCTGCGCCCTCAGCTGCCATGACTGTCCCTCACTCTTGTCACCCCTTGGCACTGATTTCTTATCACTAGTTGATCATCCTTTTAAGCTTTCCCTGCCCAAATGATTTCGCAGTTTCTACCCCCTGACTTCATCTTGATTAAAACAACCAGCTGTAAACTTGTGGAGCGGCCATGCTGGAGGCCCAGATGTTCAGAGGGGTGGTCTGCCTCACAGTGATCGCCACTTTCCACAGCATGGTAAACGAATTTCTGGGATGAAAATGTCTTCAAACTCTAGTCTGTCTTTCCAGGTTGGACTATTGACAGGTCTCTGTATCAGCAGATTCATTGCAGCGTGCGCTGTGTCCTGTTCATAAAAGTCTACACTAGTTTTGTTTTGTTTTGTTTTGTTTTGTTTTGGTACCAAGGATTGAACCCAGGGACTCTTAACTCCAAGCCACATCCCAGCCCTTTTTATTTTTTGAGGGAGGGTCTCACTGAGTTGCTGAGGCTGGTCTTGAACTTGGGATCCTCCTGCCTCAGCCTCCCAGTCCCTGTGATTGCAGGTGTGCATTTCTGCACCCGGCTCGCTCTTTTCTTTCTTTCCTGGTTTTGTTTGTTCCTTTCCAGCTTTCTTTGAACACCCACAGGGTGGACTGTAGGTGGGCGCAGTGGGGACTGTAGGTGGGCACAGTGGGGACTGTGGGGTGGGCACAGTGGGGACTGTGGGGTGGGTGCAGTGGGGCCCTCGGCAGGGAGCCGGTGGCCCGTGCGCTGACCTTGCCCGTGGTCTGCGGCAGGCCTCATGGAGGAGCCGAGTGAGGCGAAGCCCCCCCGTCCTGCCCACGGGCCACAGGCGTCCCCAGGAGAAGCAGAGACGCTCAGGAAAGCAGTTGGGGACCACTTCTGCCTCTGTTACGGTAAAGCCCGCCTCGAGCACGAGCCCTCTGGTCATTAAGGGACAGGGTGTGACAGCCACCAGCATGGCTCCCAGGGCGTTGTGGGCATTTTAAACCCACTTTCTAATCAGGTCCAGGCTGAGTGTCCTTCGGCAGCATCTGTCTCAATCCAGCCCCTCTGTGCTGACCGGGCTTCCTGCCCTGGTCCCCTCGCAGAGCCCCCAGCAAGACTGGGTCCAGGGCCCCTCTCCCCTCAGCTGTCTCTGTACCTCCCGTGCCCCCCAGGGACCTTGGGACAGCCCAGCAGTGCCTGCAGGAGGCCCTGGGCTCAGCCCCCAGTACACAGGCAGAACCCTTGGCAGGCGCCCCCGCAGCTCACCTCCATGACCCCCAGCACCCCAGGACCTCGTTCCTCCTCCAAAGACCTCAGCATGTCCGTCCCCTGCAGGGGTCTGGACATTCAACTTTGGGGTCCTCCAGGTGACATCCCTCTATGAGGAGTCTCAGGTGACATCTCTCTGAGAAATGGGGCTTCATGCCTGGGGGCTCACCGCCCCTTCGGAGTCCGACACCACCCCAGCTGGGCGCCTCCCAGAGGTGAAGGCTGAGGGTAAAGCCCGCAGGAGGGAGAGGGACAGGGGCTTTCTGCTTTTGATGTGTGATCAAAGCCAGCGCCACCAACTGGGCTCACTGGTTACACCAAGTCCAGCCGCGGGTAGCGTCCTCACACCGTCCACGGCTTGCCCTCTAGGGAAGGCGCTGGGGACCACGGCGATGGTGCCCGTCCCCTATGAGCAGATGCTGCGCGACCAGGCGGCTGTGGAGGTGCAGGGCCTCCCAGAGGGGCTCGCCTTTCAGCACCCCGAGAATTACGACCTCGCCACCCTCAAGCGCATCCTGGAGGACAGAGCGGGGATCTCGTTCATCATACACAGGTGACCCGCCCGTGCCCTCCCCGCGGTGCGCTTAGAGCTGCCTGGATGGCTTCGCTGACTGGCTGTTGAGTGTCCTGTGGCCCTGACGAGGGGACCGTCCGCGGTGCGACGTGCTGGTGTGCTGCGGTCGGGTAACCGGTGTTGGTTTTCTTGCAGACCTTTCCTAGGTCCTGAGAGCCAGCTGGGTAAGTGACAGCTACTGTCCCTCGGCTTGGCTGCACTGACCGGCCGAGCACCTTCTGCTTCTCCTTAAAACTCGCACCTGGGCACATCTTGTGCTTCCTCCTCGGCAAGCAGGGTCAGGGCGCCGTCTTTAGGGACTTGAGCATAGGGAAGGACATGTGCAGCCAGGAGAGCTGTGACCCTGCCCCCAGGCCCCCGCTTGCCTCCCCAGAGGGCAGTAAGGCCACCTCTTCCCTGTCCATGGAAGCGTGTGGCGCAGGCACCCCCATATTGGGATGTTGGCACTGCTGGCTTCCAGAGGGGACCTAGGTGTGCTGCTGTGGTCCAGAGGAGTGCAACCACCTAGCTGAGCCAGGGACGGCCTCTGTGCTGTCAGGACGGCTGCAGGGGGCCCGGGCCCGGGAGAGGAGCTGGAGAGGAGCTGGCCCTGGCCCTGGCCCCTGCGCTAAGCCGGGGCTGCACAGGTCAGTTCTCAGGGAAGCCACCCACAGACCAGCCAGAAAACTGTGTGTGTGCCCAGCACCCACTGGCACCAGGCCCCGCACGGCTCCTCGGCCTCAGGCTGAGCAGGGGACCATGTGCCGGAGCAGCTCCAGGCTGTACTTGGCCACCTCCCAGTTCCTCACGCTGTCCTTCCAGGGCGTAGTCAAAGCCCTTGACCTGGGGCCGTCACGGAGGACCAGGACTGAAAAGGGCGCCACACAGCCTCCACCAAGGCAGGACAGGCCAGCCAGGTTGGCTCGCCTCCCCTGAGCCACGGACAGCATGTCGGGGCCATCGTGCGTCCTGCTGGCTCGTGCTAGAATAGGGCTGGACGAGGGGTGGCAGGTGACCAGGTGACCAGCCTCCCGGGCAGCTCGGATCTTCATTGCAGGACAATACCAGAGCTTAGTGGCTGGGCACTGTAAGTCCCTTCACGTACATAGGGTGCCCTGGGGTCCGTGAGGGACGGTGCCCGGACCCTCTGCCAGAGAAGCCCTGCAGAAGCTCAGCTCTTTCCCAGGCAGTGTCTGCAGAGAACCCCCTGGTGCTCACTGCCACCCTGGGCAGTGCAGGTGGTGGCTCTGCTGTGACGACCCAAGTCTGGGCCTGTCTGCTGCCGAATCCACAGCGATGGGTCTGGAGCCCGTGGCCTCGAGGGCTGAATGTGATCAGCCTCCACAACCACCATTTTCCCCAGGAGGCAAAGGGGAAGTTCAGGGCCTTGTCCGAGCACCCAGTGGCGGAGGGTGGGGCCAGCCCATCTGTCCCTCTCGCCCCAGAGCCTCTGCCCAAGTCCGTGGTCCTGGATACAGGGTCTGACCCGAGGGGGCCTCCTTCCCCGCTGCCCTCCCACGATGACTTGAGCCAGGAGTGTTCTGTTCTCCTGCATTTGCTTTCATTGATAGGACTGTTTTTTGTGTTTTGTTTTTTTGTTTTTTGGGTTTTTTAAATATTTTTAGGACACAATATATTTTTTAAATTTCTTTTAGTTGTAGATGTACACAGACGTTTATTTTGTTTTATTTTCTTTATGTGGTGCTGAGGATCGAACCCAGGGCCTCACACTTTCTAGGCAAGTGCTCTTCACTCAGCCCAGCCTCAGCCCCGTGTCTTTTTTTTTTTTTTTTTAGAGAGAGAGAGAGAATTTTAATATTTATTTTTTAGTATTCGGCGGACACAACATCTTTGTTTGTATGTGGTGCTGAGGATCGAACCCGGGCCACACGCACGCCAGGCAAGCGCGCTACCGCTTGAGCCACATCCCCAGCCCAACACATGCCTTTATTTTACTTTATGTGGTGCTAAGGATCGAACCCAGTGCCCTACACATGCAAGGCAAGCGCCTACCACTGAGCCCCACCCAGCCCAGGTGACAGAGCTCTGAACCCTGGTCACAGTTCTAGGGCTGAGAGGGACCAGCAGGTCTTTGTATTCTTGCACAGGTGCTCATGGGACGGTAGCAGACTCTGAGAGAGCAGTACTGTCACCAAAGGAAAGGTAAGGGACAAATGGCATCCATATCCAGCCACAAAGTGGTAACTTTTTAGAAGTCATAACATTTCCAGTCCAATACGAAGGGCTGTGTTGCTAGTTGTATTCTGAGTGGTTTCATCCAGGCTAGGTAACAGGCACCTCTGACTCTGCAGCAGGTCACTAGCACGTTTGTGTTAAGGCAATTCGCATTCAGGGTCGGTTGGACCTGGGGGCTAGGGATCCAGGGTGCTAGGGCTCTGCAGGCCTAGGAGCCTGTGGCCAGTCCTCACGTGGCCTGTCTTGACCAGACCCCTTCTCCTTTCAGCTGTGGTGCCATCAGCGTGAAAACCGAACCCATGGACGATTCTGGTAGGTCTTCAGAATCAGGTGTGACCACTGGACTCTCTTTGGTTTTACTTTAAAAAGAGGAGGGGGCTGGACACTCATCAGCCTCGACCGAGGCCCAGTTTGAAGGATCCAGGTGGAGTGTCCCTTACTGGACATGCTGGGACCACAGATGTTTCCAACGTTAGATTTTGTGGGATTTTAGAATATGTGTGTATGTCTGTGTGTGTGTTTGTGTGTGTGTTTGTGTGTCTGTGTGTGTTTGTGTGTCTGTGTTTGTGTGTGTGTCTGTGTGTGTGTGTGTACACGCACGCAAGCTGAGACAGAGAAGAGACATCTCAGGGACAGGAGCGGAGGTGAAACAGGAAAGGCGCTTCCGTTTTAGGAACATCTTTGCGCGTAGCCGAGGTGGTTTTACATGGTGTCTTCGGCACGCCTGTGTTTCGTGTGTTGCCATCACGTGGGGTTGCGTGTGGAATCTGCCACCAGGGAGCTCATGTCAGCGCTCAAAATCCTCTGGATTCTGGAGCTTTTCAGAGTTGGATGTTTAACCTGTGATCATATTTGACCCAAATATCTGGAAGAGCGCCTTCAAGGTCAGTAGACGTAGCCACTCAGGTGTCCTTGAGCAGGTGTGTCTGGGGACAGAGTCTTATTTTGTCTCTACTTAGATGAAGCCTGAGTGGGGAGTGAGGGGAGCCCTGAGCGGGCGCTGGGAACCCCAGCCTGACCGACCGGGGAGCAGCCTCCATTTCTGGAAGCATCTTGTCTGCCTCTCAAGTTTTCTGTGACGCAGGAGCACGGAACGTTCTAGTGCCTGTGTGTAGAGTGGCAAAGCCCCTCTGATGGACGAGGAGATGCCCCCAGCTCCTCAGGAAAAGACAGTCAGCACGAGTTACAGGAACATGTGAAAGACAGAAGGGAGACTTGTTAAGAACCCAGTGTTCAGTCCAAGGGTGGGAAAGCATGGAATGCCTTAAACATGGGAGTCAGAAAACTTAGACCAAAATCTCAAAAAGGGCCAGGCCTGGTGACGCATGCCTGTCATCCCAGGGGCTCGGGAGGCCGAGGCAGGAGGATCACCAGTTCAAAGCCAGCCTCGGCAATTTAGTGAAATCCCAAGCAACTCAGTGAGACCCTGTCTCTAAATAAAATGTAAAAAGGCCTAGGGTGTGGCTCAGTGGTCCAGTGCCCTGGGTTCAAACCCTTGTGCTCCCCGCAAAATAAAAAGATAAATAAAGGAGGGGGAGGAGGAGAAAGCAGGAGAATGGAGGCCTCAGTGGTTCTAAATGAGAAGTCAGCACTCCAGCCTCCCCCAGAGGACAGGTGTGTCCCTGAGAGGGACACAGTGGCCAGCATCCCTGGCCAGGCTCCCCGTCTGTCGTCACCAAGCGTCCTTTCTCCATGAGGGGGCCCTCGTGTCCTGTCCACACGTAGCCTGGGCTGAGCTCCCTCTTCACCTGGGTCTGGAAACAGGCGTGGGGGACGTCCCGCTGGTGGCTGTGAGAGCCTTTGTCATGACAGAGGCCTGAGACCATCAGTTCCTGAGAAGAGACTTAATGGGTGCACAGTTCTGAGGATTTGGGTTCATGATCCCTTGGCCCCATTTCTTGGGCCTGTGGCAAGGTGGCCCAGCGTGGAGTGTGGTGGGGAGACGTGGCTCGTCCTGTGGCCAGGAAGCAGGGAACTGGAGGAGGACAGAGCCCAGCCCACGGCCTCCTGGGGCACTGCAGGCATCCAAAGGCCTCCCAGGTGGCTCCAGGGCCTCCATCTCCAGTGGCTCCTCTCAGGCCAAGCCTTTGACACTGGGCTTTGGAGGACATTGGAGACCCAAGCGCAACAGGGGCTCTGGGTGAAGTCAGCAGAGGGACATGGAGGGATACAGGCGAGCACAGTGGCTGGGCAGCACTCGGCCAGTCCCAACCTCAGAGTGGGACAGGCTCCTGTGAGATCCAGGAGGACCCGCAGTGGGAGTGGGGCCTGTCGGCTGCGGCGAACAACGTGGCCACTAGCAGCTTCTAGCGAGGTGAGAAGGGGGACGAGGAAATGAGACTCTGAGGCGCAGATGACAGCTGGGCTCAGGCGGAGCTGAGCGCTGCGCTGCTGGAGAAGCCAGCCTTAGGGTGACACCAGCCGACATGTGTGTCTCACCATCAGCTGGAAGACTGACTGTCTAGCGTCACGAAAGCTACAGAGCTAGCATCAGTGGGCAGCTTGTCCCATCTGCGTGGACAGTCGCAGTGTGCAATGTCCAGAGCTTGTGCGCCTCTCAAGGAAGCCCATTGTTGGAGTTACTGCCACGCGGGCAGGTTCAGGAGCAGGGAGCTGGTGAAGCACTGTGGTTGACGAGCAGGAAGTCCCTCCGTTCCCAGGAGCTGAGCCTGAGATCAAGGTCCCGCTGATGAGACTCCAGCCAGAGCCTCCTCCTGCTGGCCATGGCCACAGCAGCTCGGCACCCTGCATCCTTGCATAGGGACTTTCCCGGGCACCAAGCATGCCACAGGCACGAGGTCATCCGAGACCCCAGTCTCAGACCCTGCTCCCCACAGTCAGCGTCTCCCCAGGCCCTGAGGGACCCTGGCCCCAACTCTGCTGCCTCCTCCTCCCCACCTGCCTGGACGTGGGCCTCCTTGGTCGAGGCCTCTCCTTGGAGATGTGGTTCGACTGAGCAAATTCTGTTCCTTGTCAGTATCATGTGACTTTCCACTGAGGGTTCCACGGTGCAGCGAGAGTGGATCCGAGAGCAGGCCTCAGTTTTTCCCTCTGGGATATTTGTGCAAAGGCTTTGGCAGCTACAGTTTTGCATTCCCCTCCCTCCTGCCCTCCTCCCTTCCCTTCCTCTCTTGGCTGAATGAGCTTGTTCCTATCAGCATCTCAGACACTCACTGTGAAGTCAGTTTCAGTGCTCTGGGTCAATTAGAAAGGAATTTTTCTTGGCAGCAGAGCTAGAACACACAGGTTTATTGATTGCTTTTATTAGAATTGTCTAATAAAAGTGTCTGATAAATTGGAACTTTAAAAAGTTTACTACCGGGGCCAGGGTCGTGGCTCAGTGGCAGAGCACTTGTTAGCACCGGTGAGGCCCTGGGTAAATAAATGAGTAAAATAAAGGTCCATCAACATCTAAAAAATTTTTAAAAGTTTATTACAAATACTGTGCATGTTTGAAATGAAAACCATTCAGGCTAAAATGCCAGCAAAGGAAGAAACACCTTCCCGTCGCTAGGTTCATGGCGAAGCTTCAGTAACAGAAGACAGGTTAACACGAGAAAAACACAAAGTTCCTCAGCACCAGGAGCCTTCAAAACTGAAGGCCCAACAAATGATGCTGTGTGCTGGACAAGTGCCCTCCCGCGAGTCCCCCACAGTGTGGAGTTACCCGGTGGCCTTGACCCCCACCTAACCTTAGGTCTCCTTGCACTCACAGGGATTTCCCTGAAGACAGAAGCTGTGTCCGTCAAGAAGGAGTCGGAGGACCCCTGCTACTGCCAGCACCACGTGCCAGGTACCGACCGCTGTGTGAGGTGGTGAATCGTAATCGCCCCCTCTGAACGGCAGGCAGAGGAGTGGAGGCCCGTGTTTGCTGACCCAGCATGCAGCCACGCGGGTGAATAGCCTGACTTCAAAGATGGGCCTGATTTCCCCTAAGTGTACAGCGTGGAGGTGCCTCAGGGCGTTTCGCTTGAGCTCATTGTGAAATATTCTCTGTGTTCCAAAATACTTCCCACTTCACCACTCAATCCTCTCTCTCTCTCTCTTTTTTTTTTTTTTTTGTTTTTTGGATTGAACCCCAGGACACTTTACCACTGAGTCACATCCCCAGCTCTTTTTATTTTTTTTTAATTTGGAGACAAGTCTCACTAAGTTGCTGAGGCTGGCCTTGAACTTGTGATCCTCCTGCCTCAGCCTCCCAAGCCTCTGGGATCACCAGCATGCACCACCCCACCTGGCCCATGGCTTCTTTTTAAATTCGCATCTCTCCCTTGGTCATAGTTTTCTTTTTCCTTTCAGAAGGAGACTGTTCTAACACAAGCAATGAAGAAATGGAAACGGAATTACCAATGGAAGGTTAGAAAAATGGAGCATTTTCTTTTTTTTTAAAGTCCTCCCTCCTCTCCTCCCTCCCCCTCCTCCTTCCCCAGAGAGGTCCCAGGTCCCTTCATGAATTTCCCTCAGAGGTGACGTGCTACATACCTACAGTACAGTGCCAAGCCCATGGCATTTGTGTTGAATGCTAGCCTTTCTGTCTTTAGTAAGAATTAGTATAATTTTAGGCCAGTCCTGCTAGAAGAGCCTGAGTTTGGGGAGCTAGTGTCTAATGTCTAGCCAGGTAAGGATTTTATCCGTCTTCTGCTCAGGAGGACTGAGGGGACAGTCCCTTTATAAGATGAGCCCTTAGGAGGGGATCCTATACTGTCCCCTGGACAGTTCCATCTCCCCGTGTGGACGATGCATGGAAAAGACACTCTAGATGCCGGGATCAGCCCCATGTTGCTCAGGGAGCCGGGACCATGGGGACACCTGGAGGTCACTAAATAGTGAAGGTCATTTTAGACATTTTCCTTTCCAGAGTCTGCCCAACTGGTCTGTGCAGACACAAACGAGGACCCCAAAGGCCACGTGAAGGTCGAAGGTGAGAAGACTCGTCATGGCCACACGTGGTCTTCATTCTTCCCAAAGGGCTTCCAGGGAAGACTGGAGGACACCGAGACGGGGCGTGTCCAGGCAGCCCACCCGGAGCCCCCGGGCACTGTGGGCAGCACAGCCAGGCCACGCACAGTGGCACCAGCCCTGGGCAGGGAGGACGGCTGGGGGCCAGGTGCAGGCGAGAGGGCGGGGGTTGGGCCGAGTGTCTCGGGGTCAGATTCCTCCAGAGCATGGGGGCTGCTTCCTATCCCAGCCACCGGGACCCCTGTGGTTTCCACTCCGGGACTGTGCTGCTAGTGCATTGGGCCCGAGTCAGTCGGCTGGTGACCCAGAGCATCAGGGGCCCAGTCTCAGGCACTGCAAGGTGTCCACGTGACCCTTCCTACCCACCGGTGCCTTGAGATCCGCTGCCCTCACCATGCTCAACGCCCTGGGTTTCACCCCAGCACCTCAAAAGGAAGAAGGGGAACCTGTCCATCACCCCAAGACACGCCATGAAGCAGCTGCCCATTCCCCTGGCCAGCCCCTCCTGGCCTCCAGCTCGGGTTCCCTTGCTCTGAACCGGGCTGTCCTAGATTTCCCATGTAAATGTGACTAAGCAGCGTGTCTGTCTGCTGTCACTAATGTCTGTCCTCAGGGTTCATCCACGTGGTACCATGTGTCAAACTTTTTCCCTCCCCCACCTTTTTATTTTATTTTTTTAGCTTCTTTCCTTTTTAAGGCTGAAACATCACAGTTGGCCCCCACACCTTTTGGTGGACACATGGGTGTTTTCCTCAATGTACTTTTAAGAACGGAAGGAACAAAATTGAATGTCAAGATCCAAGTCCCACACTTACGTATTTATTCATTATTTTTCATTTCTTTGCACTTGATGGGGGCGGAACCCAGGGCTTTGCGCTTGCTAAGCAAGTGCTGACCACTGAGCTGCATCGCAGCTCCCAGCACTAACTTAAGTGGAGGCCCGTGGAAACATTCTCCAAGGGGGCTGTGTGCTAGGCTTTGGCCCTCGGGAGCATCGCAGCTGTACAGCGAGCACAGGCCTCAGCACGTGCTAGACAGACAGGAGGTGCTTGCAGTTTTTTGTTTTTGTTTTTTTTTTAATAAGAATTAGCCATGAGTTATTTGCTGAATAACTTAGCCGCTATTGAGCATACGTCTGTGGAGGGTTGGAGCACTGGGAAGTCCATCTGTACGTGGGCTTTTGTCCTCTGTCTGACAAGGATCATGCTGGTGACTCATGGTCTGTGGAGCCCGATGAGTTGTAAACTAGCCTCTAAGGCAGGTGAGCGGTCAGCTCAGGGAGTCCTTGTTGGGCTGGAGTTGTGGCTCAGTGATGGGGCACCTGCTGCCTTGAGGCACTGGGTTCAAACTTCAGCACCACATCAAATAAATAAATAAAATAAGGCTATTGTGTCCATTCCATCTACAACTTTAAAAAAGTATATTAAAAAAGAGTCAAAATGGCATTATTTTTTATGATTTCTTTTTTAAGGAAACACAAATTCATTCAGTATTACAAATTCTGCAGCTGGTGTTGAAGATCTTAAGATTGTACAGGTGGCAATTCCAGGTAAGGACATTGATCTCACTTTATCATAATTTGTACTGTACCTTCCATTCTGTCTCCACTATTTTATGACACAGGTTGGTCTTTTGGAGCTGTTGATTTTTGCTTATTAGTTCACTCTGACCTCTAAGGAACAACAATTCAGGAATATAAAATAGTGCAGGTCACCACACACCAAGTGCACTCCTATTATCATGATTACTGGGACTATAGTTTCGCCTGGGTAGGGTAGGAACTTCAAGTACCAGCTGTCATTGAATTGGAATTGGCCACAGAGGTGTAATTTATTTACTGCCCATCATTAAATAATCTTTTGTTCTAAATGTGTTGTAAGATGTATCTGGAAAGATAGCAAAGAATCTAATAAGATAGTTCCTCTAGGGTAAGAAACTGAGAGCTGAGGTAGGGATTTCTATATGCTGTTTTAAAATAGCATACAATTTAAACCATTTGATTGCTTTAGTTATTCAAAATCAAATAGAATAAAATGTTAACATATTGAGAAATAGTTCCTTCTAGTCCTACTATCTCATTCCTTTTTCTTGTTGTATTGCTTTGGCTACAATTTCTACTAATTAAGATTTCTAATTATTGAAGAGTGTTAGAGTTCACATCCTTGTCTTGTGTGATATTGAAAATGTTCCCTAAAAGTAGTATGGAGTGTATTTATACAGAATTATAGTCTGGAAAATTCTCTATTGTCCATAATTACTTTATTTATAAATTTCCAAAATGCCTGATTACTTATGAAAGTAAACTGATCAATAAATCAGGTGAAGTGCTAATGGGCATTTTCTCAGCAGCTTTCTTGGGGGAAAAATACACTAATAACCCTGGCTTATTTATGTACTTAATTATTTTTAGATAACGAGAAAGAAAAATTATCAAACATTGAAAAGACTAAACAGCTACGAGAGCAAGTCAATGACCTCTTTAGCCGAAAATTTGGTAAGTTTTTGTATCGACTATTTATATGCTTGAAATGCTTCTTTTTAAAAGAATGTCTTATAAGAAATTGATCTGTGAAAAAGCTGTGATCGGAATCAGTCAGTATTCTCTTTTGTTGTTGACAGTGTCTTTTTTGTGTGCTGGGGATTGGGAACAGGGACCTGTGCACACTGTGCATCGAGCTACATCCCAGCCTGTCAGTGTGTATTTGTAACCAAAGAGCTTTTCCATGTACCGCTAGAGAATAAAGTAGCAATAGCTAGTCACCCAGGGTCTCATTCGAGGAGGATGAGTTTTAAATCCTGACATTAAAGATAAAGGATGGTGCCAAGCACCTTGGCATATGCCTGTAATCCCAGCAACAGGAGAGGCTGCGGCGGGAGGATTGCAAGTTGGAGGCCAGCCTCAGCAATTTAGATCTTGTCTAAAAAAGTAAATAAAAAGTTCTAGGGCTGGGATTGTGGCTCAGTGATTGAGCACTCGCCTAGAGGACCCAGGTTCGATTCTCGGCAGCACATAAAGGCATTGTGTTGTGTCCATCTACATCTAAAAATAAATAAATAAATAATAAATATTTTTTTTAAAAAAAAAGTACTGGGGATGCAGCTTGGTGATGGAGTGCCTCCACATTCAATCCCCAGTACCCCCCACCAAAAAAAAAGAGAGTAAACATGGTTTGGGAAGAGTAGGTGAGGCTCAGCTTTTTATGTTGCTCATCGCGTCCCAGGTGAAGCGATTGGCGTGGACTTCCCTGTGAAAGTTCCCTACAGGAAAATCACCTTCAACCCGGGCTGCGTGGTGATCGACGGCATGCCCCCAGGTGTGGTGTTCAAAGCCCCCGGCTACCTAGAGATCACCTCCATGAGAAGGATCTTGGAGGCTGCAGACTTCATCAAATTCACAGTCATTAGGTGAGTGAAGTCTCCAGCGTGGCAGGGACTGCGGAACCCAAGGGGCAGCCCAGGGAGCTCTGTCCGAGGGTGGCCTGGGGGCTGCTGGGATTCCAGGCCAGGCTGGCATCTTGCCACCTGCTCTTTGAGGTGTGAGCTCGTGCCAGCCTCGCTGCCCTGGCCTGCAGCCCACCTCAGCTTCCTGCCCTCTGCCCGGCCTGCACTCTAATGGGGGACTGTGAGCTCCGTGGCCTTCACTAACTCACTCTCTCTCTCTCTCTCTCTCTCTCTCTCTGGCTCTCTCTCTCTCTCTCTCTCTCTCTCTCTCTCTCTCTCTCTCTCCCTCCCCAGACCGCTTCCAGGCCTCGAGCTCAGCAATGGTGAGTGTCTACATGAGGGGACATGCCGCACCGGGGTGCCCTGGCTGGGTGGCAGAGACTCACGCGGGGCCTTTGCTTTTGGAGGCTAGAGCCTCGGGTTATACTTCACTTTTCCTGGCACAAGCTTCTAGACGCTAGTGCTTAAATTTTTTTATGTGTTTGCAGCACGGGGCGTGGCACACAGACCCCAGTCCTACTTGCTAAATATTTTTAATGTCCCCTGCAGCCCTGGCAAGGAAGTCAGTGTCCTATAGAGTGATCAAGCAGGAGGTGTGGTGATATTCCCGAGCTCTCCAGTCACTAGGGAGCCTCCTGATTTAAAATTTGCAAACTAGGCCGTGTGTTTAAATGTTCCTATTCCTTAAACTCATCTGGCAGCCAAAAGATGTCCTCGCTTTACTGAGGAACCATTTACACTTCATCAGGTGGACTCAGTGGTCAAGCACCTTCCCAGGCTGTGCAAGCCCCTGGCTTCAGACCCCAGCACCACCCCAAAATCCACTTGTATTAAGGGAATTCCTTCATCCCTCACGTTGACAGCTGAGCTGCTGCTGCTCTCCCACGGGAGCATTCAGAGGCGAGGCTCCACCACTTTGGGTGCATCTCCAGAGTTGTGCGAAGGTCACCACACCCAACATCAGAACGTCCCCCCATCCCCCCGCACATGCGTCCCTCCCACTTTCAGTCATTTCCCCTCTCCGTCCCCAGCCCCAAGCCACCAACACTTGATTTCTGTCCTGTAACTTTCTGGGCTTCCGTCAGTGAACGCTTCCCTTGTGCCCTCTGGAAGCACCTTGCTGACCTGGCCAGGGCCAGGCTCCTAGATCTAAACACCGACACAGGGAACAGGTGTACATGCATGAGCCCTGCAGGTCTGGGGCCGTCTGGTAATCTGCCTTCTGCACTCACTGCTCCTTACTTCAAAGTTCTCTTGGGGTTCAAATGAGAAAGCATATGTTGAAATGCAAACAAGAAGGCACAGTGGCACGTGCCCCTAATCCCAGCTACTTGGGAGGCTGTAGCAGGAGGATCACAAGATCAAGGTCAGGCTTAGCAATCTAGCAAAACCTTGTATTTAAAAAAAAAAAAATGGGCCATTTGTCGTGGGGCACACCTGTGATCCCAGCAATTTGAGAGGGTGAGCAGGAGGATTGCAAATTTGAGGTCAGCCTTAGCAATTTAGCAAGATCCCTTCGCAACTTAGCAGGACCCTGTCTCAAAATAAAAAGAACTAGGGACGCAGCTCAATGGTAAATCATCCTTGGTTCAATCTCCAGCACTACAAAAAGGTTAAAATGTAGACATAATACTCCAGTTCATCCTGTTTGAAGCAGGTGTAGCAAACACAGCTATGCTCTGAACAAAGATTTTGTGTGTGTGGTGCTGGGGAGTGAACCCAGGGTCTCAGACGTGCTAAGCCTGCCCTCTTCCACAGCTCTGCCCCAGCTCCCGTTTTTTGGCCCATATGCCTTTTTATGTTTTGTTTTGTATTTACTCATGGGCAGCCTGCCTTTGTTTATTTTCACCCGGTGCTTAGGAACCAGCCCAGTGTCTCACATGCCAGGCGAGCCCTCCCCAGCCCAGCCCAGCCCCTGACCCTGACCCTGCCCCAGCCCCTGCCCAGGCCCAGTCTCACCCCAGCCCCTGCCCCAGCCCCAGTCCCAGCCCCTGCCCCAGTCCCAGCCCCTGCCCCTGCCCCTGCCCCAGCCCCAGGCACATCTACCTTTTAAAATGGAAGTTATAGGTCATGGTGCAGCGCGGGTGGAACCGTATTTCATCCTTAACGCCACACACAAAGAAAGTCTCACAAAAATCCATCCCCAGGTTTTCTTGAGACGTGACCCTCCGGCCACAGAGGGCATGTCCACTGGGCAACAGTGTGCACGTCCCCTCTGCAGGGGCCATTCCTGCCCCAGCCCCTGTGTCCCTCGGTTCACCATCGTGCTTTGATCCCGGTGGTACCACGAAATCAAAGGGTGACCTAGTTTTCTTCCCCCCACCCCCTGTCTCCCGGGAAGTGGGAAAGCGGAAGATCGACCAGGAGGGACGCGTGTTCCAGGAGAAGTGGGAGCGCGCCTACTTCTTTGTGGAGGAGCAGAGCATCCCCACGTGCCTCATCTGTAAGCAGAGCATGTCGGTGTCCAAGGAGTACAACCTGCGGCGACACTACCAGACCAACCACAGCAAGCACTACGACCAGTACACGGAGCACATGCGTGACCAAAAGCTCCGTGAGCTCAAGAGGGGGCTGCGCAGATACCTCCTGGGCTCCCCCGAGGCCGGCCCCGCTGAGCAGAAGCAGGTGCTGCCCAGCGCAGGGCGCCTCGACAGTGCGACCGAGCAGCCTGCCGAGGACGTGGCCGGCAGCTTGTGGGAGAAGCTGCGTGAGAAGCTGCGCTCATTCGTGGCCTACTCCCTGGCCATCGACGAGATCACGGACATCAACAACACCACCCAGCTGGCCATCTTCATCCGCGGCGTGGACGCGGGCTTCGACGTGTCCGAGGAGCTCCTGGATACGGTGCCCATGACGGGCACCAAGTCCGCCAATGAGGTCTTCTCGCGCGTGGAGAAGAGTCTCAAGAAGTTCAATATCGACTGGTCGAAACTAGTGAGCGTGGCCTCCACGGGCACCCCCGCCATGGTCGATGCCAACAGCGGCCTCGTCACCAAACTGAAATCCAAGGTGGCCACGCTGTGCAAGGGCTCGGATCTGAAATCAATCCGCTGCATCATCCACCCGGAGTCCGTCTGTGCCCAAAAGCTAAAGATGGACCACGTCATGGACGTGGTGGTGGACTCGGTGAACTGGGTCTGCTCCCGGGGGCTGAACCACGGCAAGTTCACCACGCTGCTCTACGAGCTGGACAGCCAGTACGGCAGCCTCCTCTACCACACCGGCATTAAGTGGCTCAGCCGCGGGCTGGTGCTCAAGAGGTTCTTTGAGTCTCTGGAGGAAATCGACTCCTTCATGTCCTCCCGAGGGAAGCCGGTGCCCCAGCTGAGCTCCAAAGACTGGATCCGGGACCTGGCCTTCCTGGTGGACGTGACCATGCACCTGAACACCCTGAACGTCTCCCTCCAGGGCCATTCGCAAGTCGTCACGCAGATGTACGATCTACTGCGCGCCTTCCTGGCCAAGCTGTGCCTCTGGGAGACGCACCTGGCCAGGAACAACCTGGCCCATTTCCCCACGCTGAAGTTGGTGGCCAGACACCAAGGCGACGGCCTCAACTACGTCCCCAGGATCGCGGAGCTGAAGACGGAGTTCCAGAAACGACTGTCCGACTTCGAGCGCTACGAGAGCGAGCTGAGGCTCTTCAGCGCCCCGTTCTCCACCGGGATTGAGAGCGTGCGCGAGGAGCTGCAGCTGGAGGTGATCGACCTGCAGTGCAACTCGGCGCTGAAGGCCAAGTACGACGAGGTGGGCGTCCCCGAGTTCTACAGGCACCTCTGGAGCAGCTACCCCAGGTACCGCAGCCACTGCGCCAGGGTCCTCTCCATGTTTGGCAGCACCTACGTCTGCGAGCAGCTCTTCTCCATCATGAAGCTGAGCAAGACCAAGCACTGCTCCCAGCTGAAGGGCTCGCAGTGGGACCCCGTGCTCCACGTGGCTTCATGACGAAGGGACAGCTGCTGGCCAGGCCCCACGGCAGGAAGCTTAGGATGTCCCTGGCCCTGGACTGGATGTGAACTATTAAGCATTTTGATTATTCCAGGGTTTTTTCTTTTCCACTTTGAAATGGAAGTGTAATTTGCAGCATCATACCTGTTTGTACGGCATTTTATGCTTCCCTGTAGTTGAGTAAAAGCCAACCAAGTTTTACTGAATTTCTGTTCAGTGACTCCACTGGCCTGGCCTGCTTCACCCATGAGCCTGACCTGCCCTTCCCCCCAGGCATTGTGGTCGGCATCTTCAAGCCTCAGAGTCAACAGGTAGAGGAATGGGTGACCTGCTGAGGCTACTTGCACACCCACTGGTCATCCTGCCTGTTTGCATGTGTCCCACGTGGCCTGACACATTCCCAGGCGTCAGGAGGAC